AAATTAAAAGTGTTTATTTCTGTGTTAATTGTAAAAAAAAAACAATTCTTTTATGTTTTTTATTATAGCAAATAGTTAACGCGAAAAGCATTCTACATATTTGGTGTCAAGTAAACTAGCCCACTGGCACCGTGTATTACTTGACTGTTACTCAACAATGCATATGTTTTTAGAGTATTAAGCGCTTGATTTGCATTTTTGCATAATCTGACAATCTGCTTATCATTCTGCCGACGACGTTGTGACTAACACGGCGAGGTGATGTAATAATAAAACCGCTTTAGGCAGTTATTTCGTGTTTAAAACTAGATATGTTTGAACAAGACGAGTTTTAAAGTTTACGTGATTAGGTTCGTCGATGCTAAATATTATCTTAAATAAATTAAATCAGACTTCTTCACTTTCTGTTATATAAAATAGTATACTATTTACGTGTTAGTTTCGTTTGTTTATTTACATTTTTTTTAAAACAACTTCTATAGACTCTTGGTCCGTACTCTTTTTTGCACAGTTTGTCTTTCTTTCCTTTTTTTATTTGTTTTTATTTTTTGTTGCGTAATCCTTATAGGGCTAGTGAGGTCCTTTTTTTTAAATAAATTATACTACTACTTTTACTCATACTAGCACGACAGTTGTCAGTGGCGACGGATGTGTCCTTGAACAGAGTCTATGTAATTTTTTTCAGACCTACGATCGCTGTGTCTGTTTCTCATCGCCATTTGTATGTTGTAGGCGATGATTCTCTCGGTTGACGCATTTATCGCCCTCGTGACAAGTATTTACAAACTGGGATTCTGACTAACATTAGTCGAACTAACAGCCGAATATTGTCTTCATTAGTGCTTCAAAATGTTAATGGAATTTGGAGTTTTTTTTACTTTAATATCGTTTCAGTAACAATCCTTTTTAGTAAGCGGTATATTACAGTTTGTATTCTGTTTTAATTATGTTAGACGACGACGTAAACAAAAAAGTTTCTAATACGTGTATCCTTTCGACCTTTCTGTCTTATTTTAATACTTAAAAATTTCAATATGAATAGATTATGAATTTTCAATGTAGATTTTTATGTTTGCAGCAAATTCAATAGAACTCTACATATAAAAGAACAATGAACACTCTACACATATGTACAACCCGCATTCAAACAATATTACAATCGATATTGTAAATTTCAGATACATATCTAATTTTGTAGAGCCGTACAATATAAGAAACTACGGCCGTGAGATGCTACTATCGTAATTCTATCAGGAAATATGTTAAAAAAAGACAAAAGAATTGAGTACCTCTTCCTTTAGGGAAGTCGGTCAAAAAAGAGAAAAGGAGAACTTGATATTGATAATGGATAATGGATGTTTTTTTTTTTGGAGAGGGAAGGGATTTTTATCTTTAAAAAGACAGAATAATGGATGTGTAGTGTAAGAATCCCTTCTTAATATTAACCCTAAAGCTAAGAACGTGTAGAGGAAGTTCAAAAATAACGCCAGTTGTTTGAGAAATTGAGTAGCAAAATGTTATATATGGACATGTTATGCGAGATGATGACATAAACTAGAAAGTATTAAGACTGTGGATGAATACAAAGATAGAGGAAGATCCAGTGTGATGTGTAAAAGATGACTTGCTTAAGAAGGAAGTGAATTCAGATATGACGGCTGATAGATGTATGGAAGAGCAGCACATACTGAAACGACCCTCTGTAAGGAAAAAAAGAAGTTAATTATGACAGGCGAAGGCTAATAAGCTATAGTACCTCAGTGTCACTTATTGCCAATGGGCCAGATAAATTGGTCCATCTGTTAATTAGCTTACCATCGAATTTAAAAATATTAAGGGCCTGTCCTACCACTGATAGAGACTCAGATAGCTTAAAAAGGACGTCCCTGTCAGATATGTAACAAAATCCGATACACATATTTTTCAAGTTGGATTGTTATCAGACAATTTACAATTTGGTGGGACAGGCTCTTACAGTTTTCTTTGCGGAAATGTAAAGTCGTAGGTCACCTGATAATAATCTACTCGTTCGAACGCACTATGCTATGAATAATTTTATTGAAATATGCATCATAGCAATTGATTCTTTATTACAAAGATATTAAGTCTATATTAGTATAACACATTAATCCGATATGAAGTTGGTAGTGGCCTGTTTAACATACCTGCGGTATGAGACGAATTGTTACTATTTTGTTTGTTTAATTTTATATCTTATTAATACCATCTTAAGTGTGCTTTTACATTGCAGTTTAAAACAATAGTCAATGCGTACAATGCGTTCGATATGCTGAATCGCATGTTTGTAGAATCGTACATGTTAGTTTCACACAAGGGTAGTGTACACGAGTTCAGTCTCAACGTATGAGTTCAAACAATAGCAGTGCTGCATGTCCTGCGTTTTATCCTCTGTCCTGTGTCTGTTCTGCCCTCGTGTGAAACTAATATTATGTCATTGAGCAATAGCTAAGAGTAGGTTATGTTGCGACAATAATTTTCAAGAAACTTTTGTTCGATACAATAACGAGTTTATATACATCAATGTATTAAATAATCTTTTCAATATTATAAATGCGAAAGTTTAGATGGATGGATGTTTGTTAGAGTTTGTAACCTAAACGGCTGAATGGACCTCGATGAGATTTAGCATAGATGTAGAGTATAGTCTGGAAGAACACATAGGCTACTCGCTTTTGTTTTATTATTTCTAAAGGCGAGTCGCGTGCGAAAGCTAGTTTATAATTTTGTTATATGTTTTGTACACTCAACTTTGATTCGATAAACTCATTGCTTTGGAATGCGTAGTGTTTTATTTACTTCGATTTAATTACCGAGAATAATAACTGCATTTGTCGGCGGGTTTATTGCATTTTACGAGCGGATTTTTATTGCAAATGTCATTAAATTTATTGCTAAATTCCTGTTTCGGATTAAACAAAATTGGAACAAGGTTTTTGGGATTTATGACGGCATTTTCCTTATGTTACCTTCTACCTTCTAACAGTGGTAGAGCCCGCTTTAACATCTTCGCACGAATGGGCCGGCTCGCCCGGTGTAATACCTCAACCACACAGAAGACAGGCGTGAAGTGGAAGCAATTCCGCATTTCATCTGATGAGTGTGGTGCCGGAGGCCCAATTTTAGTCCCTTTTCCTTTCTACCCTTTTCTTAAGAGAAAAAGAATTGAAACGTGGATTTGACGATGGAGGAGACGAATATAAAAGGGAAATGTCCTCTTTATGTGCGTCTCCTCCTCCGTCAATTAAGGGTAGGCAACGCATCTGCATTTGCGGATGTTTATGGGCATCGGTCGCTTTCTATTTCGGTGGATTCAGGTAGCTTGCTCGTTTGCCACCTTATATTATAAAAAAAATGTACTAATATTGTTAGAAAAATGTATGTTTAATGGCCAGCTTCCCAGTTACTTTTAATCAATCGTTAGTGTTTTTGGTTCAATAAATTCTTGAAATGAATTTCCGAACTACGTAACTTGACTTTTACACCTTTGAAACTCGGTTTAACAATAATAAACCACTAGGTAACGACAAAATAAAACGTAAACCCTGCATTAGTATGCTTAATTTAAAGATTGTTTTTATTATAAGATCTTGTTATATTCTACTTTTGTAACTTTTAAATGACCTTTAAAATCAGATATCTCAATTAAACCAAAAACAACCAAAAAACCTATGAGATTTTCAATTATACGAACAATAGGTGTACGCGTTTACACTTATTGCCATCCCTCTCTAACTTTCTGAAAAAAGAGACAACAATACATTTACATGTGCAATGATAACCCACAAAAAATACTCAACAGGATATCAAAAGTAATAAAAACGGCTCTATAAATGAAAATAACGTTTTAATTTTATTTAAAATTAAAATATAAACTTAATTCACTTAAGCAGCAATTGATTACAGAATTACGTAAACGCAAATATGCGTTTATGCATACATTATTATGTTGTATTTTAAGGTTATTTTAGTTGATATACTCTTCGCTTTAATGAAGTTTTTCATGGATATATGGTTCTTTAGTAGATTTTGTTGGTCGTTGTAAGATAACATACATTGTGATGTAAGAGTAGCACATATTGTGCCGACCCTCCGTAAGGGATAAGGGCAAGTGGATGATTTAAGAAAAACATATATTATCACCACCTTCCTCCTTATCCTACTCCCGTAAGATTGATGTTATTTGATAGTATGGCGATTAACAATTTTCCATATTTGACATGTTTAAAGTGCTTGACCAAATGTATTCGTTATCAGACGCTTTGTAAGTTTTAGGGCCTGACCCACAATTCATGTAAATTATCAGATAACAATCCATCACATAAAATATTTAATGAAAGTATCGGTTTTTGGTACACTATCTGATAGTGACGTCACTTTTAAGCTATCTGAGCCTCTATCAGCCAGTGGTGGGAAAAGCCCTTAAACTGAGGCATACAGAATATAGTTATTTACTCATTAGTCACTGGTTTATTGAGAATGTTATTTGTACAAATACATTAATTGAAGTAGTAGAAAGGCATGTGCGACCTTGTACGGGGACACACCTGAACATATTTAATACGACCTCGCCATACGGTCGGCTAATTGAAACTCATTGTTTTTTTATGGAATTTATTATTTAGCTCTTTTAGCCAATTTAGGGACACATAGACTTATTATTGCTGTGCTACAATAAGGGTCTTTCTGACCTATTAACCATACTAATTACGGTGGTTAGTATATCACCAAATTTGACTTCTAAGTTTTTTAATTATTTGGGCGGACTTACTCACGGGCAAAAGGTTGTATTGTAACTAGTGTATGTTAACATATTAAAAATGGCTTATTCCAAGTAGAACTATGAGACTTTAATAGTAATCTTCTGGTAATTTGCTTGTAACTACTACTGTATATTTCCACTGTCGAAAAATTATATAAAAGTACCTCATTAATTCCCACAATAAAGCGAAAAATTTAACCCCCTCTTTTATCTATTCCAGGTTCAAAATGAGGGGCTTTAAAAGCCTCGTACTCCTGCAGCTGGTGTACATAACCAGCTGTATGGACCAGCTGCACATTGTTTACGAGTGGACACAGCTGGACTTCCAATTCCCGACCCTGGATGATAGGCACCAGGCGATCAGCAACGGCACCTTCATCCCTGAGAACAATATGCCGATGGGTATCGAAGTATACGGTGATAGAATGTTCATCACCGTACCAAGATGGCGGAATGGAGTGCCTGCGAGTTTAACGTATATTAATTTGAAAGGTATAGTTAGAGAATTTAATTTCCTTCCCACTTATCGTATAGCAAAAACCAAGAGATATAATTACGAACACAGAATCCAAGACATGGTTATTGTAACGAAAATATTACGGCCCAAGAAAGGGAATTGATTCGATTTTTTAATCACATGAGAAAAAATCTCGTGATATAAGCCAATTTTTGTTCCACGAATTTCTATCTTGCCTAAATACTTCCGCATTTTTTACTGAATTGTTGCCACTCTGACTAGAAATAGCAATCGAATAAAACTAAATTGTTATCGACACGTTATAAGATGTAAAAGAATATAGGCATTGATTAAAAGATCTCATTGTTATATGAAAACATCGTTTATTATTAAATAACACCGTAAAGATATGCTGTAAATACATTGCAACAGGAATGCTATGACTAAGATGTTGTAACTCATCATCTCATAATCATCTCCCCTGCTTTATCCTACTCCCGTAGGGTCGGCGCACCGGGTTTTAGTCCTCCTAATAACTCTATCATCCGTCATCTCAGTTATCACTCCCTTCTTGATCATGGTACCTTTCACGCAATCCATCCATCTCTTTCTAGGTCTACCTCTACCGGTGTACCTCCACATTCATAACTAACGTCCGTCTTGTTACATGCGATTCATCTTCTCATAACATGCCCATAGCAAAATACGCGCTAGTCGTGGAGTTGCGGAAACCGTAACCCCTACTACTACTACTACTACTAACATGCCCATACCGCTCTAAGATGTAACAACTGAATAATAAATATTTACGTCTTTCGTTAAACATTTCCTTTAATTACAAGGTCCAGAAACCACCAGAACATATTAAATCCTCGTTCATTGTCAATAATTATTAATAATTAATATTTCAGATAATTCTACAGTGTCACCTAAACTGATCCCGTATCCGAACTGGGGGGCGCATATCCCCGGACTTGACGGCAAACCTGAAATCGTCTCTCCCTTCAGAGTGCGAGCAGACAAATGTAATAGACTATGGATGGTAGATAACGGAAAGATAAATAATCTAGGAAACGACACTACTAAATATCCACCAGCGATTTTAATCTATGATCTAACAACGGATACGTTACTCCGGAAATACGTGATACCAGCAGACCAAGTTAAAGAAGATTCTGGTTTCGCGAACATCGCAGTTGAAGATAGAGATTGTGATAATACCTATGCGTATGCTGGTGATGTTGGCAAAGCTGGTATTGTAGTCTACTCGTGGGCGAAGAATGATTCCTGGAGGATATCCCATCACTTCTTCCATCCGGATCCTTTAGCGTGCGACTTCAGCGTTAAAGGTTACAACTTCAGTTGGACGGACGCCATCTTTGGTTTAGGTCTTTCCGGAGCTAATGCTGATAATTATAGTACGTTGTATTTCCATCCGATGGCTAGTTACAATGAGTTTGCAGTCTCTACTGAATATTTGAGAAATCAATCTTTAGCTGAAAGTAATTTCGATGCGTTCAAATTGCTTGGGAGTAGAGGTCCTAATGCACAGTCTAGTGTGTCCTTTGTTGATCCGAAAACTGGTGTTTTGTTTTATTCTCTGGTGAATTTGAATGCTGTCGCGTGCTGGAGGACAACAAATAAGAATTATAATATGAAGAATCAAGGTAGAATTTATATGAACGATGAGACGATGATTTATCCGACAGATATTAAAGTTGACTATAATGATAATCTTTGGATTCTGTCTAATAGGATGCCTATTTGGATGTATGGACAATTGGATCCAAATGAAGTGAATTTTAGAGTGTTTTCCGCTCCAGTAGTAGACGCAATCAGTCATACTGCTTGTGATATCACACCCAGATCTGATATACTCGATAAGTTTGTTAATAAAATTAAGAATGTTACAAATAAAATTGCCGCAAAAGTAAAACCTAATTCCGCGGCAATTGCTTCACCATTTTCATTGTTTACTTTAGCTGCAAGTTGGATTTTCGCTTTTGTGATTTTTGTCTAATTTAAAAATTATTTTTATATGGTAACGTATTGTAAAAATTCCCGAACGATATAAATCACAATGATCGTTTTGATTGTAATTCTCGTTTTAATACATTTAAATTAATATAAAATTAATCAAATCGACATTTAAAGGGGAAATATCCATTTTACAATATTCTTTGTAAACGTGATTTTTGTAAGATTGATATCCCTTAAAAATTTTATTTAACAACATTATGTTATGGCTTGTTTGAAACTTTTGTTCCACAAAATTATTTTAAAAACATATATCTCAAAATTATTATTGTAAGTGGACAGTTTATTTTAAGGTTATATTTATAATATGTTTTATCTTTAGAAATGAGTGTTATGAGATAAGTGTATAAAAAAAAAACAATTCTCAGAATTTTTTTCTTAAACATTGTCAGTTGTTTTTTTAAAGATTCCGTGGCCTGGATGCTGGTCTTATAAGTCATCAGTGTATTGTACTATTAGAACCGTTCGGATATTTTGCTCAACAATGTACTAAACAAAACAATTCTTGTTATTTTTTTAAACATGTCATTATATCCGGTGTAACCGGCGGTTTTGTATATGTACGTTACCGTTCTATTTATTGTGATGATAAAATTAAGTATATAGGATAGACTGTACTTACTGAAAGTTTGTGCCTTAAAATTTTAGAATAGCGTCCCCAAAATGGCGTAGCTATTTGTAAATATGCTGTTATAATGGCTATAATAAATGCTGTAAGCTATAGATGTCTTTTATTTATAAATTAATAACCGATTACTCTAAATAAAACAATTTATACTTTATAAGCATATACATAATTTCTTGTCAGACTAGGTTCACAACATTGAACAGAAACGAGATTTTTCCTATTTGAAAACAGCGCCCTCTTTTGTCGTAATTTCCTCAACTTACTGAAAATTAATGATGATTTCTACATTTTTTTATAGATGGCGTTATAATAATTTTCCATGGAAAGAGCTAATATGTTTCATATGAATAGAAATAGATGGGGGTTTTTGGGTAAAATATTTGTCGATTTCCAATGAAGTAAAATTAGACGAAAAATAATAAGTGAACAAAAAAAATGTTTTTATATACCTAAGCGGCATAAAAGATATGTTGAATTATAACAAATTTACTATAATTAGATGAGTTTTAGATCCCCTACTAAACCTTATCGTCAAATATTTCACGATACAAAATTTATAACCTAATGAGGGGTAAACAATAATTTATGTTCTGATACTAGACAAGCAATGCGGGTTTAGCTTCACTTGTTTTTCTTTTATTTACAATATCAAAGTTAAAACTTACCTAACTAAAAAGTTAATAAAATATAAATAACCTAAAAAATTACAATTAAACGTACAAAATCGCCAAAAACATTCCATATTTCATAATGTTGCAGGATGGGAAGTAATGTTGTTAAAAAAACATACAAACGAATTGACAATCACGTATATTATTGAGTTAAAAGTGAACAAAGCAATATTTAAAGATTGCACAGACTGACATATTGGCATTTTTATATACTTACTGATGATATGTTGGTATTATCTTTGAATAAAACATTTATGTGCTGCCGCTGATAAATATCAAACGGTTCTAGGATGGGGTAAAAAGGAATACAAAATATCTATAAAAATGACTGTAATTATAGACGAAGAGGTAAGCCAATTGTTTTTGTCTTTAACTGCCATTAATTATTGAGTTTTTTTCATACGGAATATAACCTAAAAATACTGAATTAAGTTTTTGTTTTCATTTCCACCAGTGGTAAACAATAACGATTTTTTTAAGTTAATTACATTAAAAGTGAAGTTTTAACTTTTTTTTTATTTTATACATATGCTAACTATGTATGTGCTTTTTGTATATTCCATTATTCTATTGTTCTGTGTCTTGGCATATATATGTTTTATTATTTTTATTCCCTCAATCTTTTATCTGCTAATACTATGTTATTTTAAGTTCTGAATGGAATAAATGAGTTATTATGGGATACATATATCTTTAATTACTTATTTTTACATATAATATATTTTACATGATTTTTATATATAAAAAAAAATTAAATAAAACATACCATATAAAAAAATAGAACTCCACCGGCTGCGGAATCCGATGATTCAAGCAACCATTGGTCAGGGCAGCAGAGACAGGAAACTCCTCACTATTCGTGCGAATTCTTAAATAACTGCCTTTTGAATCGGGCCCTTAATCCAACTGTCTAGCGACAGCTTCTTGAGGTGTTAGTCGAAGCTCTTCGCTATCAGCCAGTGTGCTGAAACGACTATCGGAATAATGGTAGTCGATTATTATTATTAATATTAAAATATCAAATAATTGAATAATGATTTTTCTCTAAAGGCAGAAAAAGATATGCGAACATTTAAGGAGAAATGCGTGAAATGTCTCCGTGGTCCGAATTTGCTGAAAACTTTAGTTGTCGTTGGTTGCATTCTCATTGTTGTACAACAGGTAAGGAGATTAATAAAATTTACTTTTTTAACACCAGCTTTTATTCCATCAAATTGCCTTCAGAATAAGAGAAAGAGGTATTAATCTCTTATACACACTTATAGTCTTGCATTTTATTTATGTAGCCTTTAAAATGTAGCTTTTACAAAGTCATCATCACCAGCTCACTATATATCCCCACTAAGGGAGCCTTAAGTAAGGGGTGAATAGGTCATAGTCAATCACACTGGCCCAGTGCGGGCTAGTTGACGTCACACATATCTTTGAATTTCTTCGCCGATATGTCCATCACGATGTTTTCCTTCATCGTAAGAACGTCAAGTAAATTATGTACAAATCTAAAATCTCTTACAAATAAAGTATTCGATTCTTATTCGCGTTATTATAAAGTTTTTAAAATACTTTTGTAGATAAGTGAATGTGTAAACAAGCTGATGATAAACATACCGGTAGTGACGTATACGCATTTTGATTTCAACAAATCAATTGTGTATCCGAGCGTTACATTCTGCAGGGAACCGGCTTACAAATACGACAAACTTCTGGTAAGATAATATAAAATATAAAACAAAACGTAAAGTCAAGGAAACCCGAGTTGTTCCACTTACAGAAAAGTTGCCTTGTTGCTTAGAACGAGATTAAATTCCTATGAAAAACAATAAGGTAGCTGTGAGTTGTTCAAATGATTGGGTTAAGAATAAAAAACAAAAAAGAAAATATACAGACGAATTGACTACCTCCTTCTTTTGGGAAGTCGGTCAAAAATTACCTGTGTTCCAAACCATTACTTGTGTAAACACATTTAAAAACTGCCTCATATTGCTTTTTATTTCGATTCGTCTCATTGAGCAACGTTCAAAAGCCTATGGCTTTTAAGAATCACTGACAGATTTCTCGATTGTACAATGGTAATGCTATCTCTTTCCTGACATATGAGTTATATCTTTTTTCTCTCTCAGATAACGATATATGCAATGTAAATCTTACTTATAAATGCCTCGTATTTTATAATCGAATTTTCATAGATTGTAGTAATTACCTTAAATATTACAGTAGAATTTCTCGCTATGTAATTGTTTTTATTTTTATTTTGGGTGACACACTAGCAGCTAGTTAGCTGATGCGTGTGTGTTGTTATGTAATTGTTTTTATTTTATTTTCTTTCTCTAGGACTATGGACTGTATTCACATCCACGGTTTACTTCAACTTGGATGAGTTTCAATTTTTCTGTCAACCAAGATTTCATGTGGGACGAAATCTCGTACAATGAAGGAGAGTTCTTCGTTCAATACGGTCTTGAAGGATCACCGGAAAGTATGTAAACGTCATTATTAATTTGTGGAAGAGAAAGTTGGCAGAACATCATACAATTAATTTTCGATACTATATATTCTCTGTAGCCGTAAGAGATTTTAAAATGGATTTAATATGGATGGCCTACATCTTTTTAAATAAACATAAATAGGAAAAAGAAAGACTGCAAAGTTATTTAACTTTCTATTAAAGTTTCCGCATCAGTCGTCGTTAAAGAACTATTAAAATCAGATTAGCGTAATAAAAGTATATTCAAAGATTTGCGTTAAAAATTTACGAGTCGTGTAAATGTCGAATGAAATACTTTAAAAGACATCTCTTTTCATTAATTTGAATTCTATTCCTGTAAATATTTATGTTTGTATGTAAAATTATAGAAAAAGTTATTCATTGAGTATACTACACTATGATTATTTATCATATTTTCTTCTTCATCTTGCTAAATTAATTACTGCTACGCCATGAATTTCTTCAGATGTAGAACTAACCTCAACACTGGGCTTAGTGACTGGGCGCTGTTTCACACTGTCTCCCAAAGTGCAGCTGCGGCAGGCGTCCAAAGCCTCAGGGTACTCCATCACGCTGCAGCACCGGGAACTGGACATCGCCACCAGCTCCGGCGTCTGCCCGCCGGGGTACCACGTCTACGTACACTACACCCGTGAGCCTTTCACTGGTTTGTAATTCAAAACCAACTAACTTTTTAAAAAGGTGTGCACCTTTGACTAAACTGACAACATTTGTGCGATTGTCGATTGTTTCACGGTCAATTCAACTGTTTTTGCACAACTAAACATCTTAACTCATCTCTCAACTAACTATCTCTATCCAGAAGTAGAAGTGTACAACGGCGGGCTGGTGGATTACCTCTTCATCAACGCGGGCGAGGCGGTCGACGCCAAGCTGACTGTGGACGAATACGTCAAGTTGTCTAAAGATGATGACCCTTGCACGTATTTAGACAATTATAGCGCTAATAATGTGAGTGATAGTCGTGGATAATTAAATTACAGACATAAAAAGACATCTAATTAGAAAATTGGTCACATTATTTGTAACTCTACTTAATTATAAACCCTTGCTATGTTATTTAGTAATTACGTTATTTCTTGTTAGTGCACAACGCAGTTCGTATGGACCCATGTGGAGAATCTTGTAGGATGCTCTGGACCCTGGATGAAGAGCAGCCTGCCTCGGTGCAGCAACTACACTGCCATGAGGAATCTTATCAGAGCTTACATAAAGTGAGAATTACTATCTATAAACCATAAATTCATTGCCAAACTAAAGTAACTAAAAACCATTATTTTTTCGCTAAATATAGCATTAGGAATCAAAGTCACTTAGAATATATTATACACTAGCTTACGCCCGCGACTCCGACCGCGTAAAATAATAAAAAAACAAAAGCAAGTAGCCTATGTGTTCTTCCAGAATATCCTCCACATCTATACCAAATTTCATCCAAATCCGTTCAGCCGTTTAGGCTACAAACTTCAACAAACATCCATTCATCTAAACATCTAAACATTCGCATTTATAATATTAATGTAATTAGAAATTTAGATTTAGGAGAGTCACTTACAGATTAATAAAAGATTCAGAGTACAGCACAAAGATTCTTTAAGTTCAGTTTATAATTATTCCATATCTTTACTGGACATTGTTTTCTTGTATACTATAGGCCTATCTTTTCTTCTAGCACATACAAAGACCATGAATGTGATACATGTCCTAGATTCTGCAGATCTTATCTCTACAATGCCTTTGTGACTGACAGACAGAGTTTCTACGTGTGGGACTCTACTGCTAAATTGTGGAGCTTGAAGAGTGGCTACACTGCGTTACAATCTCAGGTTATAATCCATTTTACTTTATTGTAGCTTTCTTTTTTAAATAATCGAAAAAGGTGTAATGAGGGATTTTTAAACTTAATTCTGGTAGAATCTTAACTAACAATGTTCTTTCTAATCTTTTCTTTAAGTCCGCAACGAGCAGTACCGCCAAGACTTTTGTTGACTTCAACAACTCTGCCTGAATTACTGTAGAATTGACTGGTGTATCAAAATGAAGATAGATTTTTACGCCATATTTAACTAAGCATGAATTAAATGTTCTTTCCAGTTGTACATTCACTTTAACAGCATGATGGTGTCAGTTTACGAGGAGAGACACAATTACGATTGGAACATATTCCTGTCCGACCTCGGCGGGAATATTGTGAGTATAACTCACTGTGTTTTTACATCTCTTTCATTCTTACTGTAAAAATAAAGACAGCATCATTTTCTTGTATCTTCTGTAGTGGAAACCGACGCTAAATTGGTGTAATTCTATACAAATGCAAATGAACATGTATGCAAATTACACGAGCTCGTGTCGGGTAATTCATGCGGACGGTAAATATTTCGATGGCTACCATTGATTGCGAATATTCTGGCCAACTGCCAAAGCTCAAAACGAAGTCAGTGCGGTGTTAGGTTTTATGAATACATTCCTATATGGTTATGTACGCCAAATACTTTATATCTATACTATTATAATAAAGCGTAAACACACACTTCTTTGTTGCTTAAGATGTTAGCAATCACAGCATATTTTTGAATAATTCGCTTTTTAAAAAAAAGCCCTACACTTACGTCACGCTTTAGGCAACACATTTTCACGCCATTACACTTAGGGATTAATATTTTGGATAAAACCCTAATGTGGAAAAGAGACCATAAGTTGCTGCCAACATCAAGAAAGAAAGATTGCTAAGGTTTGTCATGTCATGTCACTTTGACATTTGCTATTGATAATTTGACAAATGTAAATAATAAAATAAAATTTTCATACTTTCATGCGGATGAAGTCGCACGGGAACAGCTAGTATCTTAATAATATAAATGCAAAAAGATTGGATGTATGAATTGAAAGGATCTGATTCCACTTTGAAGCAAGTTTGTTTGAAACAGTTTGGCGTTGGCCTTAGTTATAGTTTTCTTTTTATATTTTTGTACCTATCAATCATTTGCGTTAGTGATGTTCCATTTGCTTTGCCAAGAAGTAAAACATTTCTTATATTTGGTCATACGGTACCATTTCCGTTTTGATGTTGTTCCAATTTATTGACAGAAATAAACAAGTATATAATTTATTTAAAACTAGCTTCTTCCAGACTATGCTTTACATTTGTGCTAAATTTCATTACGATTGGTTCAGTACTTTAGGCTACAAACTCTAACAAACATCCATCTAATCTTTCGCATTTACAATATTAGTAAGATGAAGCTAGGAATTTTCTCATTATAACATGAGTATAATACACAAATATAAAAAGTTAGTTTTCTAATTTCAATTTTGCTTTTAATAATTCGATATTTTCATAGTATAACATAACATAACAGTGGTAGTGCCCGCTTTAACATCTTAGCACTGCAGGGCCGGCACGCCCGGTGTAATACCACGACCACACAGAAGACAGGCGTGAAAAGGGAGCAATTCCGTGTTTCGTCTGATGTGAGTGTGGTGCCGGAGGCCTCATTTAAGTCCCTTTCCCTTTACCACCCTTTCCTTTAAAGAGAGGTTGGGAAGAGGAAGTGGATTTGACGGTGGAGGAGATGCATAGGAAGGGGAAATATCCTCTTTATGTGCGTCTCCTCCTCCGTCGGATAAGGGTAGGCAACGCATCTGCAATTGCGGATGTCTATGGGCAGCGGTCGCTTCGCCATTTTGGCGATTTCAGGTGGCCGCTTGCTCGTTTGCCACCTTATGTTATAAAAAAAAAATAGTACCTAAATACTGGCAACATTATTCTTAACATTTGGTTCTCTTTTAGGGTTTCCTCCTCGGTCTTTCTGTCATCAGCTTGATGTCGATCCTCGGCAGCGTGTGGTTCGAGATCCTCCGACCTTTCATCATCAGGAAGAAGATCAAGAAAGACATGTTAAGCGTGACCAGCTCCACTCCTACTGCTGAAGTGGCTGTCATATACAAGGCGATTGAGAAGTATAGAGATTGTAAGAAATAAATATACTTTCATAGAAAACGTGAAAATGTGTGTATTCAATAAATATGAAGCAATTATTATTATTGTTATTTATTATGTATTACTGATACTTCTTACTAATATTATAAATGCGAGTGTTTAGATGGATGGATGTTTGTTAGAGCTTGTAACTTAAACGGCTGAACGGATCTGGATGAAATTTGGCAAAGATCTAGAGCATAGTCTGGAAGAACACATACTTATGTTTTTTTATTCTACGCGGATGGAGTCGCGGGCGAGTTTAGACAGCTGGATGGATGTTTGTTAGAGTTTGTAGCCTAAACTATAGAACGAATATCGATGTAATTTAGCATAGATGTAGAGGATAATCTAATACAACACATATAGTTATATTACTTTTTTAATAACACGCAGAATAAAAGTTAGCTTTAGAATTAGTTGAATTGATGACACAAACATGTCTGGTTTAATAACTCTGTGGTTACAGCCTTATAAAGCTAAAATTGTTTAAATAAGTCGCAATTTCTAAATTCTATTGAATTCGCTTATATGCCTGTTTTATAGATCTTTGCTTTCGTGTGGATTTCCAGCGCAGCCCGACTGACGTATGCTGACGCTATTGCAATAAATCTGCAACATGTCTTACTACCGTAGTACACAACAGGAAAGCGGAACAGAAGCGAAGCGAATTCTAATAACACAGACTAGAATTGCCCGCGATGTTATGCGTGTGAAATTAAAAAAACATAGACTGTTACTTAGTGATAACATAGCTTTTAAATGGCGAAAGAATTTATGAAATCGGATCAGTCCTTTTTGAGTTATTTCAATATATACAAAAATACTAATGTATCCTCTTTATAACATGAGATTGACATGGCTTTTGAATATTATCGCAAACAGTTTGACAGACAGGTTTACTTGGTAATACAGTATCTAAAATATAGCAAATTCTACGTTATAATTTATCATCTGATTGTGCTGTATTTATTCGCTTCGCTATCCGCACGCATTTTACTGTACAACAGGCTTTATCTCTTGAAATGCGATGATCGGAATGTATGATCGTTTGGATGAGTCGAATGCGAAATACGTCATACATCCTCTTCCTGTTTAAATATAATCTTTATTGAATAAAATATAGGTGTGCAGTTTTGTAAACATACAAGTACATAATGATTTCTATCTGGCGATCACATGAGTTTTTGATTATTATGGTGTTTATAGAATATTGAAGTTTTTTTTTAATTATAAAGATTCTCTCAAGAATCAAAGACATAGAAAGCTATGTTATCATTGAGTAACAAAAGTTTTATTTATTTAGATTGTTTTATATTCCGCGTTCACAGTCGAGTAGAAGTAAGTCCATCATAAAATGGTACATACAAACATCTTGTGCTATAAAAACTAAAATAGATATATGTAGGTTATTAGTAAGCAAGCCCAGGCAATCTAAATATAGTAAAGGGCCGACAAGGAAGCGAGGCCAAACATTTCACAAACATATTTTTACGGTTTCGTGTGAATCAGACTATGCTATTTAGAATAGAAACATTACACGTAGGTGTCAACATTCCTTAAAACAATTTCCACTGGCGAAATATACTCGAAGCTTACTCTCCCACTCATCTATACTATTATAATAAAGCGTAAACACACACTTCTTTGATGCCTAAAATGTCAGCAATTACAGCATATTTTTGAATAATTACTTTTTTAATAAAAAGCCCTACACTTACCTCACGCTTTAGGCTATATATTCTCACGCCGTTAAACTTAGGGGGTAAATATTTTGTATAAAAACCCTAATGTGGGAAAGAGACCATAAGTTGCTGCCAACATCAAGGAAGCAAGATTGCCAAGGTTTGTAATGTCATGTCATTTTGACATTTGCTATTGATTATTTCACAAATGTAAACAATAAAATAAAATTTTCATAATTTCATGCGGATGAAGTCGTACGGAAACAGCTAGTTCTTTGTACAAACGGAGATAATGTGCGGTTTGTCATTTTGCTAGTGGCAACGCACCTTAATGTTAATTAACGTAAGCGTCAGGTAAATAGGATGACGACTGTTGTATTTCATTAAATTTTTGACGAATGTTGAAGATTCGACTAAACTATCGCACAACGGTTGCGATTATCGATTGTTTCAGCACTTGAACTGTTTAGTTGCACAACTAAAAATCGAGTAGTGTGCTCACCTCCAAATAAACTCATAGGAATCAAAGCGAGACTAAACAGTTGTGCGATAGTTTAGTCGAGGTGTGTTCGCTCTTAAAATTTTATACCAGAACCTTTTTATTTGACCACGACAAACCTGAAATCGTTGATTTCGTGTTTAGATTGAGGTATTATAATAATTAAATTAAATGGCCTAAATACTTAATATATATACTATAATATATATAAAATACATTAAGAGGAAATATACTTTAATTTCACTTCTTAAAATTAATAAATAATAGTTAATTTTCTTTTTGTTTATCACCAGAAATGTATCACTTCGTAAGGGAAGTCCTTGGCTACTTAAAAACAGGAATCCTAGTTATTTAGTCAAGGCAACACTGATTTATGTAATTAACATTAGAGAGCAATAAAATTATTCTTATTCTTATTCTTCTTATAACTGTTATGTTAGGATCAATCACAGCTACATAAGCTACGCGAGCACCGTAGCGTTTTCGCGTAGCAGATCTACGCATTTTAAGCACAATTTGACCTACTATTTTGTATTAAAATACTGTCTATCTGAATTACAACTTACACTCAAAGAGCAGAAAATGTCAATAACTTTCATAATTTAACTTATCAAATGGGAACGATCTATCCTTTGTTTATGACGTCATATAAGATAAATTTGCATCTATTGATATCACGTACGTAATCCGATTGACCTTTGTGGATATCCTTGGCAAGGTCATTGTAATACAGAATTCTTGGCATTACATTAACGTTACGTTGTATTCGGTTGTATAAAAGCTTACTGTATTACCCTGAAATAGACACTGTTTAGTTAAATCGTTGTTTAAAGTCTGCTCACCGCTGATTGATACTGATCGACGTGGTTATCTAATGTAACTATATCTAACTACTAGCTGTTCCCGTGTGGCTTCATCCGCATGAAAATTTTATTTCATTGTTTACATTTGTCAAATTATCAATACCATATGTCAAAATGTCATGACAAACCTTAGCAATCTTTCTTTCTTGATGTTGGTAGCAACTTATGGTCTCTTTCCCATATTAGGGTTTTTATCAAAAATATTTACCCCCTAAGTTAATAGCGTGAAAATATTTAGCCTAAATCGTGACGTAAGTGTACGGCTTTTTATTAAAAAATAAAATATTCAAAAATATGCTGTAAATGCTGTCATCTTAGGCAACAAAGAAGTGTATGTTTACGCTTTATTATAATAGTATAGTGTATAGATGTTAGTAATCACAGTATATTTTTGAATCGTTTTTTAATGAAAAACCCTATCACTTACGATACTTTATACGGTATATATTTTTACGCTATGAAAAACTGACATGAGGGAAAGTAAAAAGTAACAAAAACTCCAAGCAGACATCAAACAAGCATTGCCATGGTAACGGTAATTGTTATTCAATGTCAAAACCCTTCGTTGTCATTCAAGCATTTGAATTTGGACATATACAATTGATAGTTTCACAGATGTAAACAATAAAATAAAGTTTTTATAATTTCATGCTGATGAAGCCACACGGATACAGCGTGGTATAAACGCTAATATGCTTCAGTGGTGTTAAAACCCCTTTACATTACTATACCTTTTATTTATAAGGAGGTGGTTTAACAGTGGTAGAGCCCGCTTTAACATCTTCGCACGAATAGGCCGGCTCGCCCGGTGATATATCACGACCACACAGAAAACAGGCGTGAAGTGGAAGGAGTTCCGCGGTTCGTGTGATGAGTGGTGCCGGAGGCCTAATTTTAATCCCTTTTCCTTTCCACTCTTTTCTTAAGAGAAAATGATGGGAAAAGTGGATGAAGAAAATGACCTCTATATGTGCGCCTTCTTCTTCGTTATATAAGAGTAGGCATCTGCAATTGCGGATGTCTATGGACAGCGGTCGCTTTCCACTTCAGTGGATTCAGGTGGCCGCTTGCTCGTTCCCCACCTTATATTAAAAAAAGGTACGTAAGTGTGACGTATTTACATTTTAAATTAATGTCAATTATGGTACACGGTGACAAGGCGGTACAACAGGTGAGATTATTTATAGTGTGCACCAAGCTGGAGCGACTCCAGATGGTATGAAGTTGGATACGAATGACTCACCGGTACTAATTGGTTACATAAGTTGTATGTCATTCAAGAAAACATCTGTAACAAGGTGACTGGACATTAGGTGACTTTTTTTTTAATAATCCGCCCCTGTTCTTACAGGATCGCATTTTATATGTCTCTTCTAATAGCAGCCCTAGACCCAGAGTTTTTGAGCATAACGGTAAATCCGACCCTGTCTTCATTTAGTTTGTTTATCTACGCGTCGTATCTTAGTATCACTATTTATTATTTTTGACCGACTTCCCAAAAGAAGGAGGTGCTCAATTCGTCTTTATATATTTTTTTTACTATTTCACTTTTGTTTGATACTTTACTAATACTTAAAGGGATTATTAAAATTACAACCTTTCGCCTCCGATTCCGTATACGTGGAATTAAAAATAAACAAAAGTAGTCTATTTGGTTTTCCAGACTTTGCTTTACGTCTATGCCAAATTGAATATAGATCCGTTTAGTTTAGACGGTAAACTCTAACAATCATCTATCCATCTAAACTTTCGCATTTATAATATTAGTAAGATTAATATGATCGTAAATATTGTGTTGTTATAACACGTTATCTTCTGTCAGGCTGAGTGCCAATCTAGATAGGCAACGAGTCAACTGACTCTGTAATAAAAGAAAAAAATGTTTATATTTAACTAACTGTTAGGATGGCGTTCCGTGGGTCCTTTATAAAACACACATTTTAATTACTGTTGGAC